AAGAGAAACCTTATGCTCCAAGGACTACCCCCACAAAGACTTGTGCAGGTGCTTTGCTTCACACATGAAATAGACTCATTAAAATTAATGGGACAATTCACTGTATGTCAGAGTGTGTAGATTGAAATCAAAATTATTAGAAACTACAAATTTAATCAGCAGTTAAATCAGTAAGTAGAAGAGTTTGACTTAAATCTTTGAGTTTGATCTTGTTTTTCATTTGTAAGGTTTTTTACTTTAAAAAAAAGCTGAGTGTTTTTGGCTGGTATAATTTTTCATCTCTTCTTGCAACCAAGGAACATTAGACACAATATACCCATAAACAGTGACCAACATAATTGTGCCACATAGTACAAATTTAATCAAATTCTTGATTTTTACTCTTTATTAAGTATGAAAATAGTGACTGGAGTATTTCTTACTAACAAGCTAATGGTTAAATTTTATTCTTTATTTGGGTCTCTGCATATGGATGGGAAATTGTATCTCAGTTTAAGCTAACCAGAAAATACTAAACTGATTTAGTCACAGAACAATCTCACTTAACTTCATCCATCTGAAAGTTAAGCACCTATTCTCAGACTGTAACCGATGCTGTTTCGAGCCATATGAGGTAAGAGGCAACTTTAGTGAGTGATTCCTCTTTTTAATCACGAGACGATTTGCAAATCTGTACTGGCTACCTTTTCCCACTGAATAAAAAGGAAGGCAAACTTTCTGCTTGGAATTCAACTGCAAAAGCCAGGTGGAATGATTCTCACTCAAATTATTTAATCTAAACACTTAAGTGCACTAGAGACATTTAAAAAAATAAAGAAAAAAATTGACCCAAACTTAAACTCTTAAATAAATAATTTCAAATGCAAAGGATGTATTACCTGTATTTTGCATTTCAAATGAGTTGATTTTGGTTAACCTAGTCTTTAAAATTTTAGAACTAGTAAGCAGTACCCTCTCTTATATTGTATTTTAACCAGACTCAAAATGAAGACCAACTTTCAGTCTTTTCGAATTTCAAATTTTTCTTAAGTGTGAGGGAACAGCTTGCTGAACAGAATTCACTGAATAAAGTGAAATTAAATACTTCCCATGAAGATTAGGATATTTCTATCAGCAACTGATTTTGCACTTCAGTAAATTTATGTTTCAGGTGATCAACCAATAATTTCCAGTGGTTTACTCAGATGCCTTCCTAAAAAATATCTACCTCAAACACAGTACGCTTACTGTGTTGTTATTTTTCTTTTTCTTTCTTTATTTTTTTTTTTTTTTTTTTTTTTTGTGCTGGGAATTGGCTCTAGGCAAAACAAATGTTCAGAAAGTACTCGTGCATAGGACGATATAAGCTCATTATAATTTTATGGTTTGTCATTATGAGAATGTAAGCCAGAGTTAAAACAATCATTTTGCAACCTTCACTATACAATGTTTCATCTAGAAAACACATATTTCTTCAAATTTTTTACATGTTTCTTGAGGAAAACAGTATTAGAGCCAAACAAAAACAACAAAAATATAGTAAATTTCTTGTAGGCTATACAAAGAAATAATTAAAAAAAGCATGTCTTTCATATCTATTTCAGAACTTTTACAAATAAGGAAGTGTTTGTTAGTAATTTATTATATTTTCCATGCCTGATGAAAATACTATAGAAGAGGGGGAAAAAACCAAACCAACAACCAACAAAACAACAAACACAAAGAGAGATTGAGAATTCTTCCTCCTGGTGCTTCTATTAAGTAGAAAATCACATCTCCCCTGCGCCTGAGGTGTTCTGCTAACAATGTGCTGCTATAGACAATAAAGAGCTGTTTGGGTGCTTGTTCTTTTCACAGCAAATTTACAGCTAAAAGGAAACCCAGACTTATTAAAAGCACATACCACAACCATCACCACTCACCCGAGGCCTCTCTGTCTGTAACTGAGTTGTGCAAATGCAGATATTTAAAAGCTCACAATCTCAGACAAAATAATTATGTAAGCCAAATTAATAAAATTAAGTTTTACCATTGAAATGTGCAATGATTCTTAGAGACCCTCTACTCACAGATAAAAAGAGGGGAATGTATCTTTCTTTGTGAAGAAGATTAAAAGAAACATCCTAATTGAGGAAGATGGGACTGTGATAACGTTTAGGATAAAGCAAAATTGATGCACAGTACCTGAAATTGAAAATACTTCAGTTGAGAAGCTACTGCAGTATTATTTGTTTATTGAAGCCTCTTTCTCTGAAATTCTTCCAGGCCTACTACACCGTTTTGGGACAGACCAGGACAACACACAGTATTCTATGTACAATTGCCTTGTGTGATCTTACAATCACACAGTGATGCTGTCATGATTACTTTCCTAGTAAGTCCTACATTTCTATTTGGTGTTGGACCACTCCTGTAAATTCATCTAAAGCTTTCATAGAACTATCCACCATAACAGATCTTGCTCTACAGCAGAAATAGCAGCTCAAGGTCCATCATTCTATTTGTGAAGTTAGCATTGTTTTTTTCACACATAAGCATTAATTTACATTTATTTGTACTGAATTTCATCTACATCTCTGGTCTCTGCATTTGATTCTGAATCGAGCATGCTAACTCCAGAACCAACATGGAAGCCTGCTTCGTCTTGCATTCTCCAGTTTAAGACTTCACCACCACTCTAACCAAAGATACAGACAAAATTTCCAAGATACTTTTTGTTCTCTTTTCAGGAAAATAACCCAACATTTACAAAGTGCAACTTGGAGTTCCCTTGGCAACAGCTCAGAGATCCTCACAACGTTCCTTGGCACCTTTCCACTGCACATCGCTTTTAGCAACAAGAAGGCAGGTAAGTCATTTCAGTTTTGTCTTATTTTCTTTACAGTGCAATTGTATTTTCCACTGACGATAAGAGAACCAAATATGTATTTCATTAAAAGGCTAATACTTTAAAAAATGAAAATAAATGAAAGAAGTTGCTAAGCCATTAATATTGCAGATTTCTAGGCATCACAGTGGAAAAAAAAACACATGTTGGGTAAATACATTTGATTAGTCAAGATTAGCTAAATCATGAACATTGCCAGGCCTCTTCCTAGATTATTATTTGCAGTTGCCCTGACCCAGCACTACAGACATCTAAAGGTCTGATTTTCACAACATATGCAGGACCCCACGCACCAAAACCTAGGGTATGTATTTCCCTGTCTTGGAGCCACACACAACTCTTCAGTTTGAAACACAAATGCAACAATAAAACCTCTGTGCTTGGTACTAATACATAAATAAACAGATAACTAGAAAACAGATAATAGAATAATGCAAGAAAAAGTTTTTGAGCTGTTAATTTGTACCTTTTAAGCACTTCTACATGTTTCTAAGGTTAACATCTGAATGGATTGTCTGCCACACATCTCAGCATGGATACAGTATTTTTACAATAAAAAGGTGATGTTTACATAAATATGCCACCCTGATTCCTTTTCTCCCAGGCTCTGGTTTGGTTTGGGGTTTGCTTTTTTTTTTTCAGTTTGAGTACTATAAGAAAATCTGTTTTCAAGAATATTACTTTGAGATGTATTAAGTAATAGCATGGCCAGGGGCTTTTAAAGAAGTTTTCTTGAAAATCTTCTAAAACCAGTCATATTTCAAAGGTCCAAATTTTATTAAACTTGAATTTAAAATATGGAATCACCATTTAGATGCCTGGAGGTAAGCTCTGTTTTCATTTACACATCATTTTAAAAATACTGTGTTCAAAATTCTGTGTTATCATACTAATTTCCAGGTCTATCCTCAAAAACTTTAGAAATTGTACTTCTGGCACTGATTCGAATACTTTCATATGTATTATACAAATTGCACTAAGGAAGAAAACCTATTTGGTATCCAAAAAATGCTTATGAGCCAGGTATATTAAATTCACAATAAAGATGGGCTTTGATGATGATGATGATAACAATAATAATACTAATAATAATAGTAATAAGGCAGTTAGGAAAACATTAGCATCTGAATGATTTTTCCTGTCATTCAGATGCTAATGTCTGGGTTAATGGTGCATGTGAGGTGACCTGGGTAAAAATAAACGCAAGTTCTAAGCATAAAGATTTTTGTGTATAGTTGTGGAGCATAATGGTTTTAATCTAGGCCAACCTGGTAACCAAAACCAAGATAGCTACAGAAGTGTGCTAAGGATTGATGCATTCTTGGATCAGAAAGCATTTGCTGCACTTGCACTTCTGCTGGCATGGGAGCTAGTGAGATTAAAGTTGTGTATGCCCATACAAAGGGCAGTCATCATCTTCTGAGTGGATATATTCAAAGTCTTATGCAGGAGGGTTTAGGTGATGTGTAACTTTAGGCAATTCATTTTAGCCATGTGCAAATAACATAGGACGGATTCAAATACAGAAGATAAGTAGAAAATACTAAACATAAAGTATGTTTAACAAAAATAGTGCAAACCAGAGGAAGTGTTGATAGATGCTTGAGGTTACTAATCATTGCATAATTTGCTTCCTCAGGGAACAGAATACATATCATAGAATTATAGAATAGTCAAGATTGAAAAGGACCTTAAGATCATCTAGTTCCAAATAGAAAAATATAATAATTTTTGTTAACCAAAATTATTATTAAATCAGAAGATGGATTTTGAACAGAATGTGAACACCAGGAGGGACACGTGTTGACAGCGTGCTAAGAACAATGGCCAGCAGGTCAGGTGCTTAGCTGTTTCTGCCACAGTGCAAAGCATCACCTATTAAAATATTTAATAAGGCTGCACTGTTATGAAGAATAGATTTTTTCTCACAATGCAAAATAAGTGCTTGGAAAAACTATAGCATATTGCAAATAACAAACCAACCACATAGAAGACTTAAAAATACAGCCACCTCATGTTCTCTAGCACTGTCCACAGAGGATTCTCTAGAAACCTAAAATTCTCAGGCAAAAACCCTATAAACATTTTAACAGCCTTTAAAGAGTACAGAGAAATAAAATAATTTTGTACTTACACTAATTTTCTCTTCCATATCCTTCTCCTGTACCTTAATTTTCTTCCCTAGATTAATTCTGCCAAGAGTCTTTCCTCTCTTCATAAAGTTTTTAAATGCTGCCTTGGTGTTCCTCATTATTCACCTGTTATGACACAGAGCAGATCTGATGCTGAAATAGGACTATACCTTACTAATATTTTAGTGGCTTGCATTATTCCTTCCTACAGAGGATTAAGTATAGTAGAGTGCTTTCTAAATCATGTGTCTTGACATGGAAGTAGAGAATACCCAAAGCTAAAGAAAAGTTAATCAATAAATCAGTAAATCAATACAGTGTAATTTCAGTGTCCAAAAATGGTTTTCTAGGTAGCAATTTGACAGTAGGAATATCTGCTCCTTAACTCTTTAATCTTGTTCCACTGAAATTAACAACAAAACCCTTGGGTAATTCTGAAGTGCCATACTGACCTCAAAATTTGCTCCATAAGACACCTAAACATGGTATGTGTTTGACAAATATGGCAGTATTTAACCCCCTGGTTCAGGAAATACTGCTTAAACTGATAGAAGTAACATTTTTTCTTAGAATTAAGAGGCAAACCCAATGACACGTTAAACCATATTTCCTCCACACTGGCTTTAGCAAAGTTGATTGGGAATAATCATGACCAAATTCCATGTTATCCCAACAAATTTATGTATCAATTCACCTTGTCCTTAAATCACACTTTTTTGAGGGAGGAATCCCAACATTAGGTGGGAAACAAGGAAAGCATGAAACAACCTTTCCCTTGTGAGGAAAAAGAATATTGTCAAGTGTAAAACAGCTACGAAGGAAAACAAAATCAAACCAAAAAATAACCCAAACAATTTTGATGAGCCTCATGTTAAGTCACATAGGTGACAAATATGAAAGCACGAGCCAAGGATGTGAAAGACTTATGATAATCTCTACATAGGAAGTTCACTCGTGTAAAACCTCGTTTCTGATCTTTCCAAATTGAAAAAACAAAGGTGCGACACCACAACTCCAGACAATTAAAAAAGCCCAAACAACTTAAACTTGGATGCACCCATTGTCATTATATTGAAAAATAAAACAAAATAAACTGATTTTTGAAATAACCACCTTCTCTGACAGACACATTGACTAGCTTGCATGTTCTTCAAGGTAAATATTATATCTCACATCTTTGCACACTGGCAAAAGTAGCAAGATCCGTCAGCTCATTTGAAGCACCAGTATGTATTAATTTATATAATAACAGAAATGCATAAGATCTGCTGTGATTGTAAGGGTTAAGAGAATAAGAATGTCAATTTTAATGTTTTATAACTGTTCTCTTTCAAATATTTATCTGCTCTTCTATAACATATCCCATTTTTTGTTCTCACTTCTTTCTTTTCCCATTTCTTATTTCTCTCTGGTATCATTCCTTATCTGTTCTCGCAGTTGCTTTTAGAAATGGAACCTAGAGAAAACTCCTGCTGGAAGATAACAGCTCTGCTTGCAGATTAAATAGTCCATGAGGAGACTTAGCACATGCAGGGGAGCTGATTCTGCTCAGTGCTAAGTACCAGCACCATCAGTCACACTCTGAGCATCAACAATCACAGCTAGCTTCAGTTGGCTTAGAAGTGGCAGCATTTTACGGGATTCAACTCTCTCAAAGAAGGGAGAAATAAAAGCAAAAACAAAAATAAAGCCACGGCTTAAACATGAGCAAAGGAAAATGCTGCAATCCAGATTAAATGTAATTATGATTGGAATTTTTTGTACATGCTAAAGCCATAATTACCAATGCCCTTAAAAATCAAGAATCAGATGTTAAATACTATAAGCACTGAAAACCTTACTCTTGTACAGCTGACCTATGCTGCCAGCCTCTAGAACACTACAGAAATCTCAACACAGCTTAAGACAGTTGCTGAAAGTTAATATAAATATATGTCATAATACAGTGACAGGCAATCATTAAGGACAAATTTTGTATGCTGTAATACTTTTTTTGAAGCCAAATAAATTAATGACAGAGTATGTTTAAAAAATGCTAAAATTATGAAGAAAAAACAAAATTACTGTACTTGCTGTGATTCAGCCTCTCAAAATGTTCCCTGGTGTCTGAGAATGACACACCCAAGGCACTAATCTAGCATTTCCCTATGGTATATCCAACTTAGAATTACCTAAGACACACACACACAATGAAACCCAACCCAAACCAATAGTTTTATAACAAAGTTTTGGAAAATCAGGCATACTGAATTACATTCAATAAGTTTGGTTAAAGCTGAACCAGCCCCAGGAAATCATCTTTTATCCACCTTCCTAACGCTATGTGTATTTGTGCATGTCTAAAGCTAATACATATAGGTGCTTGGTCTTTACAGAGGCTGGAGAATTGAGAATAGTAGCAAGTCTCAGTCACTCATATAAGCACTACACAGTTTCAAGTGATTTTATCTTAAGAGTATTCATCTAGCATCCTAAATATAGAGAACAAAAAGAGCTGTAGATTCACTTAACTTCAGCAACTCCAAGTTACTAGCTGTATTTAGTGTGAATTAGATGCCTCAGCTTCTGCAATGTTTAAAGAAAACATACCAGCACATCCAGAAGTTTACTTGCAACAGCATTTCACATACTGACTTCACACAGGGCTGAATCACACATACCTCTCCCCACTAAGGGGATCCTAGATAATTAACTGATTAGACTCATGCTAACCCAGCTCCATAGGCAGTTCATGAAACGACTTCCAGAAAGTAAGTCAGACTCATACCTAGCAATAAATGTATGCATGGAAGTTACATGGACTTGCTGATCTTGACCACTGCAATCTGGTAATCATATAAAACAAAAACAACAAAGCAAATTCGCAGTTATGTCAAGTCCTTATTCAGTATTTTACCTAGTGGTTCATCCTGCCTCTTGGAGTGGCATTTTAAAATGATCAACTTAGTACTGTACTGACATAAAAATCCAGCAGCCTTGGATACAACAGTATAGCAAAAAAAGAAGCAAGACAGATGACTATGAACACCTGGAAGTGTCCCAGGTTTGACCTTCTTCAGAAGGCAGATGTGTCTGCATGTTTAAACCACTCATGCAGTTAAAGCTGTATCATTAAGTTATTAAATTTTTTTAATGAATACACATTTCTGAATGCTGCAGTAAAGCTGGAGATTTCAGATACATTAATTAAGGGAGCATTATGCTGAATACATCCTCTACTTAAAATGTTCTATGTACAAATAAATGCAGTCTATCCGTCAGCAGTGGTTTCTACTGTGCTTCAGGGCAAAGCATAGGCAATCAAACAATACCAAGGGGAGAAGTGCAAGTTCAGGTTTTCAGTCTGCAGTGCCTTCCAAGAGGAACTGAGAGCATCACCATCCATACTGAGCACATTTTGTAAGGTGGCAGAATTCCTTTCATCAAATTTACATGGAAATAAGAAAAGTTCAGGGTGGGTAGAAGGAAGGGAAAAAAAAAACAATCAGAGACGACTCTAAAGAAACTATTTAGCCGTGCACAGTGTGTCAGCCTGTTGATGGATAAAACAACGACAATTTCATTCATTAAATGGAGACTGCCAGTTTGTAAACACAGACTGCATGCTATTGATTTAACTGAGTAAATTTCATCTATGCTGGGATATTGTAGGGATGTGCTGGGCTTTTTATATCCCTCCAAGCAATTTGGCTTATTTCTCTGTGTTGTACTTTTGGCTCTCATTAACAACTGCTTATTTAATTTAATAGCGCTTCTAGTGGGAGTACTGAATGTGTGCAAATTCTTGTAACCTCTATCAATAGCCTTCCAGTGCAGGGATACAAGACCCAGTTCCCATAAGTAAAAAAGATGGTTCGATGCCTTTAGCAAGGAGCAAGCCTAACAATGCTGATCTTCATGTTTTGCTGTGGCAACACTATAATTGGAAACAATTTCTCAAAGCTAGGCCAGACCCTGAATCTATCAAAACATTCAATGGACTTGAGAACTGCAAGATATTGGTTACCAGAGCCTAAAATTAAAATGTCAGGGTGTCTCAGCTTGGGACTAGCAGAAATTCAGTGCCCGAAACTGCGTTTTAGATTACCATTTCCCCACAGAAGAGAGAAAGCCTGTACGCAGAACAATGCCAACACCTTTTCAGTTCATCTAAATTAAGTATGAAATTCAGAAGAGCTGCTCTATTGCAGGCTTACAAACAGAGCAAAAGAGAACAAACCACAAGGAAAAGAGCTATCCTTTAGTCCAGCTATTATCATTTTGGAGACCAGTTCATACGAAGTCTTGCTCCACTGAGTGCCTCACTGTCTCTATTTGGAAACGTTTATATTTCTATAGAGCTACTTGCCTTCTTTTCCTCATATTCACAGGGATTGCTCAGCTTTACAGTACACCCTAGGAAGTACACCTTACTTCTTGTTCCATAGAGGTTCTCATTCATCATCTCTTAGTAAGTCTCAAGGTAAAAAATTTCATGTGTTTACTTCGATTGTTGAAGCAAAGCAATCCATCACAGTCCATTCATTCTGCATGAATTACTAGCATCAGGCATAACAAATTTACTGTGTTCCCTGCCCTACAGATCAAGAAGTAAAATCTCAAACAAATGTAAAAATTACCAAAAAATTCCAATGTAGAAATGATTTAATGTAAATTCTCTTCTTCTTGCTAAATGTAAACTGACTTTTCCTAGTATTAGACTTTTTTTGTTCTTTTATCTTTTTTTTGAATTTTTCTTTTTTTTTTTTTTTTTTTTTTTTACCCAGGAGCTTGAATGTACTCATAATGAACTACTATGGGAAAAAAAAAAAAATCAATGATGGTTAAAATCAGTGCTTCCTATAGCACAGAAAAAAAAATAAAAAAATAAAAAAACCTTACTATAATATACTAGGAGAATGAGAAAAATTACATGAATTTTGGTACTGTAGAGTTGGAAATTTGCAGCTTCCCTAAAGATTTTCCTTATGTCCCATGACAAATGAACAGAAAACTACAACTCATACAGACATGAAAAAAAGTATTCTCAATTTTAGGAAAATTGAAGTGATACGCAAATAATCTCCTAAGGATTAAAAGCAATGGACAATGGAATGGACCATGTTTAGGCATATGCCATGACTGGG